CTTTAGGACATCTCCTAGTGTGTTTCCTTCTACATTTGTCACACCATATTTCTTCATTACTATCCCCATACCTCTTGTTGTTGGGGTTAGACTTCAGGAACCTATTTTTCTTTTCAGATCTGGAGGATCCCTCAAACTTCCTCTTCTCTCGTACCTCATCTCTTTCCAAACCCTTTTCCCTAAGTTGGATCTCCATATTCTTGGATGTTCTAACATCTGTCTTCAAGGTAGTTTCCATTTTCATTGTTGCACCAAAGTCTGATGACAATCCGTTAGCAAACCTATTCTATCTTGGAGAGTTCAGTCGGCACCAAGTAGAGAAATAGCTTCATCTTCTCGGTGAATGCGGTGGCGTACTCATCAACATTCATCTTCCCTTTCTTCAGGTTCTGAAACTTGTTGTTTAGGTCTATCCGATCTATTTCTGAGCAGTATTGCATTTTCAACTACTCCATGAATGCTTCCCAAGACATCCTTAGGGCTTCTTCCCGTGGCATTGTATCTGCCAAGAACTTCCACCAACTTAAAACTCTCTTTATTTTTCTGTTTGCAAAGATGGTCTTTTGCTTATCATTGCAGTTGCAGCTTTCAAATACCATTTCCATCTCGGAGATCCAATCCATGATCTCTACAGGCTTCGAGCTTCCAGAAAGACTTGGTGGCTTGGCACCCAAGAAGTTCTTATATGTGTGCCCATCCCATTGAATCCTTCTATCTGTTTCATTCCTCCTAACCATTTAGGGTTCAATTTGGCTCACAGTCTGACTATAGCTCCCTTCATCAGATTGCTTAATGTTCAGCTCAGTTTGTTCAACAGGAATAGTAAGCCCATCCCTATTCTGTTGAAGTAAACGACTCATTTCCTCCATCTGACGATCCAATATCAATTGGATCATCGCTTGCACTCTTGCTATAGTGATTGGCTCAGATGTAGCCACTACTTCTAGTGCATGCTCAATCACAGGCCGTTGATTAACATTCCTATTTGCATTTCCGCTTTGGTTTCTTGCCATTTCGATCTATACACCAAATCAGAAGTTGTGTGTGTGTGTAATGACGAGAATAGGAAGATTTTATTTACAATCGATGTGTAAATCTCCTTATCATTCTGAAAAGTTATATGTCAGTTCTAATACCGTAATTAAACGTTTATAAATCTGAACACATAAAATTTCCAGATCCGGTCGGAAACAGATCATAGATCCCATCATATAATGCATATCGTAAATCACTTAGCACATAAAAGCATTTTAGGCATCTTTCCTAAAATAAGCTAGTGTTTGTGTCTATTAAGGTGCACTACCTAAATTATATTAGACACACTCAGCTCGCAATCATCGCTTAGCATTTTAAGTTTAATTCTAGAAACAAATCCTTATTCCTAGTTCGCTTAAACTAATGCTCTGATACCAACTGTGACATCCCCATTTTTACGGCCAGGAAATACCAATTTGTTTATGATTTATTTTGAAAATCAGATTATCTTTTAAAGAAATATGTTGGGAATTTGTTCTCATAAAAACATGATAAATGCGTTATCAAATCATTTCCGAAGAACTGTATTTTATTCCTTTTAAAACGTCGGGATTTCATCATCAATATAGAAACATAAGCATAAACAGACCTTACATTCATATACACTAGTTATCTACGTCTCCTTACTCTCTCAATGTGATGTAGCTTCATATCAACACTTGTGATACAAATAAACTGAGTGGGTCAGGTTAGGAAACCTGGTGAGTACATAGGGATTTCAATTGCACAATTTTTTTTATCATATATATATTTTAGAACTCACAACTATACAGTTTCACCATGTATAAACAACTCTTACCCCACCCCGTTAATCCTCTCAATGACATTGTCCATACTCCCGGATCTAAAAGTTACCTTTTTACTTATTCCATACTCTCGGGTCAAGTATGTCTAATCCATGCTCTCGGATCAATAATTGTGCCAATCCCATACTCTTGACCAGGGACAATTGACTATTCCTCAATCCATACTCCCATATTAATGACAAATAACTATGTCCTATCCATACTCTTGGACTAAGGACAATTGTCTATGTCTAAATCCATACTCCTAGATTAATGACAAATAGCTATATCTTATCTATACTCTCGGACTAAGGAAAAATGAGCATGTCTAATCCATGCTCCCGGACCAATGACATATTTAAAAGTTCTATTCTCCGTGTATATCTCACTCGTACTCATAAGAAGATACTACCCAATATGCCTCATAATTAATTTAGGTACTTTTTATCCTAAATCATCGTATATTATCAGGTATGTTCTTTAACACATATTTCAGGCAACATCAAATAATTCCCACATAAACATATATTTTATACTTCAATCAAAACCTGTATTAAAATCATGTTCATGAAAGGGACTATGCACTCACATGTTAAAGTGATGATTCCAAACTCAAGCAGCTCTTCACTTCTAACAATTCTATTTTCCTTCTACGAAACCTAGCATTATTATCACTAAGTTTTATTCTAATATTTATTGTGACTAATTATTAGTCTAGATTCATCATTAACTCAAGATCTACTTTCATAATCTATCAAGTAAGGAACAACAAGGTAGGATCATATCGGAGGTAGGGCCCGTTTACGAAATATAATGTTTGGAAATCCCACTTTTAGCACCTTACTAAATCGCAGCCGGGACATCATCCCCATAAGTAGATCAATCAGTATAGCGACTTGGAATCACTGATACATCTTGTTTATAGGTTCATAATAACGATATTATATTTAAATATAAGTTATATTTAAAATAGTATAGGCATATCTCACTTACAGCGGGTTTAGCTAAAAATCGGGCTCCGCTGGAGCAGATCTTCTAAGATGAAAAGATCTTTTTCTCGGAGCCTTCAGGTGCTCCGGGGCTTTCATCTAGCACCTTGAGGTTACTAGGGATTTAGAGGGGTTTTGGGAGGTTTAGAGAGAAGTTAGAGTGAGAGAGAAGTGGATTTTGGTGTGAGAAATAAAGGTAATATCGCAAAGTATTTATAGGATAAAATACTGGTCAACTTGTCAACTTGGGGCCTCCAACTCGTCGAGTTGGTGTCACATGTCACCCTCTGGTGGCAAGGCTTGGGGAGAAAGCAATGGCCTAGATTCAGTCAAGTCACCCTCTTCGCAGCAGCACCCTGTCGACTTCTAAACCCCATAACTTCTACATACGACTCCGTTTTTTATGTCCTTTATATCCACGTGTAGGTATTGACAACGTATACAACTCTCCTTTTGACTCCATCGGCTAACTCTTGACCGTTTTTAAATTTAATAATATGAGAAGATTATATTGTTAAAAGACCGTGGAAAATTCATAACTTTTACATACGGACTTTGTTTTTGTCTATCTTTTTATCGTTGAACTCTTATTAATGAGATATTCAAGTCTCATTTAGGTTGATTCGACCAAAATTTGATCAATCTAAAATTCGAATTCCGAGTGTGCACTGCTATGCTAAATCTTAGAAAAATCATAACTTCCTCATACAAAGTGAGATTTTGATGTTCTTTTTATGTACCTTCTCGGTTTAAGGTATACAACTTTCGTTGAGATTGATAAGGCTAAAAGGTAACTTATCAAAAATTCACTTTTTACGTTACGCGGTGTCGTACCGATTTTGCCATAAAACTTCGACGAGTCATAACTTCTTCGTTATAACTCGGATTTCAGCGTTCTTTATATGTACGGAACCTTGTGACATATACTATAACTTAGTTAGGAGTATTTATTCTAAATAATCTTCTATCAAAAAGTCATTTTTGATGCTTATTGTCTCCAAATTGACTAGCACGAATCTACGGGCATTACACAATATATCGAGGACCTAACTTTCCCCTCTTCCTGAAGAGGATCTCCCCCTTCCAGGGTAAGAACTTCAGCAACACCATATTGCCAACCTGAAACTCGAACTCGGAATAACGTTGGTCGGCCTAAATTTTTACCGACTCTGAGCAGTCTGCAATCGCTGCCTAATCTACTGAATCTTCTCGGTAGTCTGTAGAACCACCTCGGTTCGACCCATGACCCGGTGACCAACCTTGCCCCAACAGACTGGGGTACGCCATTTTCCCTCATCCAACAACTCGAAAGGTGGAGCACCAACGCTTGAATGAAAGTTATTGTTATAAGAGAACTCTGCAAGGGGTAGGTGGGAATCCCAACTCCCACCAAAGTCAATGATGCAGGCCCTCAACATATCCTCAAGGGTCTGAATGGTCCACTCGCACTGACCGTCTGTCTACGCATGGTAAGTGGTGCTGAAATGCAGTCTCGTACCCATTTCCTCTTGGAAATTCTGCCAGAATCGGGAGGTGAACCGAACATCATGATCTGAAACAATAGAGACCAAAACCCCATAGTGAGAAACGATCTTGTGGATATAAACATCAACCAACTTCTCGGCCGACGAGCTCTCCCGAATTGGCAGAAAATGGGCACTCTTGGTCAATCGATCCACGATGACCCATATAACATCATATCCCTTCGCTATCCTTAGCAACTTGGTGATAAAGTTCATCGTGATTTGCTCCCATTTCTACATGGGAACCTCCACAAGCTGCATTTGGGAGAGGGATTCCATCTTAAGCATACCAAGAATTATTGAAAAAAGTTGTACATTATGCTTTTGGTCCTCCCGTAATGATCAAAGTTTTGGGTTCAATCTTGTTTGGCAAAGATAAGGTTGAGTAGAAAGATGCCTTAGAAAGGTTAAAAACTATTCCGTTACCAAAAACTCTAAAAATATTGGAATTAATCTATACTGCTCTAGAGGATGATTACAAGGAAATATTTCTAGATGTTGCATGCATAATGAAAGGTGGGACCCGGAAGGACCAAGTAATCAAAGTGCTTGAGAGTTGAGGATTTTGTGCTAAAATTGATTTAAGGGTTCTTCAATTAAAATCTCTCATAACTGTTGATGTCTATCGAGGATATGAGTATGTGTCCATGCATGACCATCTTAGAGAAATGGGCATGAATATTGTTCATCGATTGCACCCGAAAATGCCTCAAAAACATAGCCGATTGTTGAAGAATGATGAAATTGAACATATTTTGGCTAATGACTTGGTAAGGATTAAGTTAATATGTAAGTTGGAGAAATCTGATTTTTTTAATCTATTATGACATAACTTTTCATGTTGACCACCTTACAGGGTACTGAAGAAACAAGATGTATAAGATTGTACACTGAGAAACTCGATCCATATATTCTTATAAAAGGTCTTGCAAAGATGAAGGCACTTAGATTTCTTTATGTGGATATGAGAGATTGTTTGTGGAACCTTGAACTTGATACATTTAGCCCAAGCTTTCCAGATACTTTAGAATATTTGAGTTTTAATCAATACCCATTTACGTCTTTACCTAAAACATTTCAAGCAGGTAATCTTGTTACACTTGACATGCGTCGCAGCAAAATCATACTCCTTTGGGAAGGGGGAGAAAGAAAGGTAGAACTATGGTTGACTGATTGTTTTTAATGATTAACTATACACCAATTTCTTTGTTATGACTTATGACACCTATATATAAGATGTTTTTTTTACTTATGCTGTTAGGTTCCTGAGAAACTCAGATTCCTTGATCTCAGTTATTCAAAGTTGAAGACCCTTGACCTTCGGTTGGTTCCAAATCTCGAGACATTAACTCTTACAGGATGCAGTGATCTGGTTGAATTTCCAGATGGTATTTGGAAGTTGGAACATCTGAAATCTCTAGAACTTGATGGTTGTAAGTTACTTGAGAAGTTATCTGAGGATCTTCACCGGTTAAGATATTTAGAGAAGCTAAACTTGTCATCTACAAGTATTGAATATCTCCCATATAGCATTAGCATATTGAAGCATCTAAAATATCTTCAACTTGATAGATGTCAGTTGATTGAGAAGTTACCTGAGGATCTTGGCCAACTAAAGTCATTAGAACACCTCAGTTTGTCATCTACAAAGATTCAACATCTTCCAGATAGCATTTATATGTTGAAACATCTAGAATCTCTGAAACTTGATAATTGTACGTTGCTTGAGAAGATACCCGAAGATGTTGGCAAACTAGAGTCATTAGAGCACCTAACTTTGTCATATACAAAGATTCAATATCTTCCAGATAGCATTTGTATGTTGAAACGTCTAGAATCTCTAAAACTTACTAATTGTCAGTTGCTTGAGAAGTTGCCTGAAGATCTTGGCCAATTAGAGTCATTAGAACAGCTCAGTTTGTCATCTACAAAGATTAAACATCTTCCAAATAGCATTTGTATGTTGAAACATCTAAAATCTCTCGAACTTAATTTCATTTTGCTTGAGGAGTTACCTGAGGATCTTGGCCAATTAGAGTCATTAGAGCACCTAACTCTGTCATCTACAAAGATTCAACATCTTCCGGATAGAATTTGTATGTTGAAACATCTGAAATCTCTCAACCTAGGTGATTGTTGGTTTCTTGAGAAGTTACCTGAGGATCTTGGTCAATTAAAGTGTTTAGATAAGCTGCACATATCTTATACAAAGATTAAACATTTTCCAGATAGCATTTCTATGTTGAAACATCTAAAAGTTCTCAAACTTTATGATTGGGGGTCATTTGAGATGTTACCTGAGGATCTCAGTGGGTTACGCTGTTTAAAGGTGATGCTGCTGTTTTCTACAAAGATTAGGCATCTTCCAGATAACATTTGTATGTTGAAACATCTGAAACTTCTCAGCTTGGCTCAATGTTGGTTGCTTGAGAAGTTACCCGATGATATTGGCCAATTAGAGTTTTTAGAGAAGCTTCGTTTACATCATACAAAGATTAAATATCTTCCATATAGTATTTCTATGTTGAAACATCTAAAAGTTCTCAAAATTGATGAATGTCAGTTGCTTGAGATGTTACCTGAAGATCTCGGTGGGTTAGACTGTTGAGAGGTGTTGCGGTTGTCATATACAAAGATTAGAAATCTCCCAAATAGCATTTGTATGTTGAAGCATCTGGAATATCTCGATCTTGATCATTGTTCAGTGCTTGAAAAGTTGCCTGAGGATCTCAGTGGGTTAGTATGTTTACAGGTGTTGCGTTTGCCATATACATATATTAGATATCTTCCGGATAGCATTTGTATGTTGAAACAACTGAGAGTTCTCAACCTGCGTGAATGTTCTTTGCTGGAGAAGTTACCTGAGGATCTTGGCGAATTAGAAAGTTTAGAATTCTTAAATAAAGTAGGTACAAGCGTATGGTTTATTCCGTAGGGCATTCATAACCTGAGGATCTTGGCCAACTAGAGTCATTAAAACACCTCAGTTTATTATCTACAAAGATTCAACATCTTCCAGATAGCATTTGTATGTTGAAACATCTAGAATCTCTGAAACTTGAGGATTGTACGTTCCTTGAGAAGATACCCGAAGATCTTGGCAAACTAGAGTCATTAGAGCGCCTAACTTTGTCATATACAAAGACTCAATATCTTCCAGATAGCATTTGTATGTTGAAACATCTAGAATCTCTAAATCTTATTAATTGTCGATTGCTTGAGAAGTTTCCTGAAGATCTTGGCCAATTAGACTCGTTAGAACAACTCAATTTGTTATCTACAAAGATTAAACATCTTCCAAATAGCATTTGTATGTTAAAACATCTAAAATCTCTCGAACTTAATTTCATTTTTCTTTAGGAGTTACCTGAGGATATTGGCTAATTAGAGTCATTGGAGAACCTAACTTTGTCATCTATAAAGATTCAACATCTAACATTTGAAATCTCTCAACCTAGGTGATTGTTGGTTTCTTGAGAAGTTACCTGAGGATCTTGGTCGTTTAAAGTGTTTAGATAAGCTGCACATATCTTATACAAAGATTAAACATTTTCTAGATAGCATTTCTATGTTGAAACATCTAAAAGTTCTCAAACTTCATGATTGGTCGTCATTTGCGATGCTACCTGAGGATCTCAGTGGGTTACACTGTTTAAAGGTGCTGCTGCTGTTATCTACAAAGATTAGGCATCCTCCGGATAGCATTTGTATGTTGAAACATTTGAAACTTCTCAGCCTGGCTCCATGTTGGTTGCTTGAGAAGTTACCCGATGATCTTGGCCTATTAGAGTTTTTATAAAAGCTTATTGTACAAAGATTAAACATCTTCTAGATAGTATTTCTATGTTGAAACATCTAAAAGTTCTCAAACTTGATGAATGTCGGTTGCTTGAGATGTTACCTGAAGATCTCGGTGGGTTAGACTATTTAGAGGTGTTGCGGTTGTCATATACAAAGATTAGAAATCTCCCAGATAGCATTTGTATGTTGATACATTTGGAATATCTCTATCTTGATCATTGTTTACTGCTTGAAAAGTTGTCTGAGGGTCTCAGTAGGTTAGTGTGTTTACAGGTCTTGCGTGTGCCATATACATATATTAGACATCTTCTGGATAACATTTGTATGTTGAAACAACTGAGAGTTCTCAACCTGTGTGAATGTTCATTGCTGGAGAACTTACCTGAGGATCTTGGCGAATTAGAAAGTTTAGAATTCTTAAATATAGTAGGTACAAGCATATGTTTTATTCCGTAGAGTATTCACAATTTGATAGTAGGTCTGCATTTTTGTTGGTCAGGAGGGCTTCTTCATTCATTTGGTTACAATGTTGAAGACGAAGATCAAGACATCAATGAAGATCAATACATATATGAGTACGAAGATGACTACGAAGACCAATACGGATATGGATATGAATATGATGATGAAGACGAATAATAAATTTTATAAGGAACGCACCGAAGCAGGAGGCTACACTACTGTGCTTGGAATATTATTTACAAAAGCTCTGAAGAATATTAATGTATTTTTTGTATTGATACATATTGTACTTTAGAGTAAATAGACTTGCAGTATATGAAAACCAATGAGGAGGTAGCAGATATTCTAACCAAGAGCCTTGCAAGTGGGAAACTGATTGAATTCAACAACATGATGGGTATGGTAGAAGTTGATGTTGAGAAGGAATATTAAAATTCGCAACATCCAACTAATACGAGCACCTTACGTGCTTGCTTCTATCCTTAATTTAGTTTATGTTTATTTTACATGTCTAGAATAATTTAGTTTATGTTTATTTTACATGTCTAGCATCTTTCTTTCTGTTGAATTAGTCTAGATAGTGAGCACTTGTCCAATTGTATTTTCCTGTTTTCTAGGTAGTGGTATGGTAGTAGCAGTAGGGGCGGACGCAAGAATTGCTACTAGGTGTTGCCGAGTTCAAGTAGGTGTTGCCGGTGCATGAAAAATAGGTAAAAAAATCAAAAAATCTAAATTTTTTCCACTGCGTACACGAAAAATAGGTGTTTTCGGTGCAACACCAGGCACCACTATAGATCCGCCTTTGAGTAGCAGTTTTCCTCTTTTCAGTTTTTCCTTATATGCTTTTTCATGTAATCCATTTTCAAGTTATCAAAATATACACATGCACACACACACACACACTTGTTAACTGTGTGTTTCCTTCTTCATTGCTTTGTCGTGTTCCTTAGGTGTGTACTATGAAGATTGTCTTCATCAGCTTACCAAAGTGGTATTAGAGCTTGCGTATTTATGGTTGAACTACAAGTCGTTGGTGGAGTAAAGAATCTGAACAATCAAAACTACAACACTTGGTCTACTTGCAGCACGTCATACATACAAGGGCAAGATCTGTGGGAAGTTGTGAATAGGACTGAAACTAAGCAATCAGAGGCAGAAGACAACAACAAGATCTTACGTAAGTGGAAGATCAAGGTTGTCAAAACTATGTTTGTTTTAAAAACAACCGTTGAAGATGTACTTGAGCATGGGATGTCCTATCAACCTTGATCTTAAAGAAGAATAATACGAAGTTGCAAGTCCTTGAGAATGAACTCCTATCTGTTACCCATAGAGATATGACAAACTCACAATATTATCATCCAGTCTCTCAAATCGGTGAAGTAAGGATGAGAAGAACAATCATCCATGGGCTGAAACCGAAATTTAGAAGTTTTGTAGCAATGATTCAAGGTTAGGCAACTCAACCTTCCCTTGTTGAATTTGAGAATCTCTTGGCTGGACAGGAAGCTTTAACAAAACAGATGGTAAGGGTAACTATCAAGGAGGATGGAGAAACTTTGTATGCGGAGAAAAACAAAGGAAAACACCGATCTTTAGGAAATCATTGGTGTAGACACTATTCAGAAAGAAATAAGAATCAAGAAAAAGAAAAGGACTTACAAGCATAAGAAAGGAGAGTCATCTGAGGAAATATCAAAGAACCACCGTCACAACAAACGTTTTCCTTACAAGTGCTACAACTGTGGTAAAAAAGGTCATATGGTGCGTAATTGTCATTTTGAGAAAGTGGAAGAAGTGAATGATGCAACATCAAAACAGAAAGAAGTATGGGATGCAGAAGCAATGTATGCCCAAGTCCAAGATGTTAATTCCTTAGCACTCATAGCAACCACTGAAAACAAAAACCATCTTGATGAATGGATTGTTGACTCGGGTTGTTCTAATCATATGAGAGGAGAACATAAAAATCTTTAAGACTCAGTTAGCTATGGAGGAAGTAGGGTGGTCATAATTGCTGATAATTCTAGACTCCCAATAACACGTGTTGGTGAGGTAGTAGTTCGTCCTGAAGATAACAACAAGGAACTAACACTCATAAGTGTGTACCACGTCCCAGGTATGAAGAATAATCTCCTTTCAGTCCCGCATTTAGCTTCCACTAGTCATTCTCTGTTTTTTGGACTAGATGATGTGAAGATTTTACAGAATTTGAGACCCCTTAGATACCTATTTTGAAAGGTAGACGATCAGATTCCATTTATGTAATATTAGCAGAAACAGCTTATGTAGAAAAAACAAAACGAAATCAAAATGCAGACCTCTAGCACATAAGGCGGAGTCACTTATAACAAGCTTGACTTAATGATGAAGAAGCATATGGTTAAGGGTCTTCCAAAGCTTGAAGTTAGAAAAGATGTGGTGTGTGCCGGATGTCAATTTGGTAAGGATTATCAGCAACCATTTGGCATACCAGAGTACAAGTCCAAGGCACCGTTATAACTTGTACATTCCGATGTGTTCGTACCAGTTAAGAAATCCTCTGTAAATATATGAGGTACATTGTAACATTCATAGATGACCTTTCTAAGTATATTTAGGTGTATTTCATGGTTGAAAAGTCTGAAACGCTTTCCAAGTTTAAGGAATTTAAAGTGGAAGCTGAAAGAAAAACAAAACACAATATCAGTTGTCTCTGATCTGATAATGGAGGGGAGTACCTTGCCATAGAATTTGATGAGTGCATGAAAACACATATAATCAAAAGCCAACTGAACTATCGAAATACCCCACAACAAAAGGGTATATGTGAGGAAAAATAGACACATGGGTGAGATTTGCAAAAGTATAATGTAAGACAAAAATGTTCCAAGACAGTATTGGGCAGAAGCTATGAAAACAACAACTTATGTGATCAATATGGTTCCACAACAAAATCTTTATTATGTATTACTGTAAAAAATCACGTGGAGATCAAACCAAATGTGATTCATCTATGTGTATTTGTGTGTGTTTGTTATGTATTTATACCCAACCATTTGTTGAGTAAAATGGATAAAAAGAAAGTTGTTGATGCATATTTATGGGATATGATCAAGAAAGAGAGGGTCGGAGATGTTGTGATCGTAATTATGGAAGGTGTTATGTCTCACGGAATGTGGTTTTTTATGAGAATTCTTCATGGTGGTCATAAAATCATGAGGCTTTTCTTGATACTAAACTTCTTAAAGAAGAAATTCGTCAATCTCTGGAACAGTCAAATGAATTCTCAATGATGATGGCAACAACGAAACTCAAAATCCTAGAAGATCATCTAGAGTCAGGAAGCCAAACTATCACACCCCCAAACCAGAATGGCGGAAACATTCGGGGGTGGGTGACTTCACGTAGTACCATAACAATTGAATATCGTAAAGGAAGTAACATAACCATCATATATATAATAAAACGTACATTGTTGCGTAATACATGTTTCCAAAAGAATATTACAAATATGATGATTTAAAATGTTTGATAATAGACGCCTTAGCGCTCCTTCTTCAAAAGCTGGTAGTTACCTGTATTAATGATTCCCTGATAAATACAAGTAGTTTCAAAAAAGTGTCAAAAATAAAGTTGGTGAGTTCATAAGTGTTTTTGTACTGAAAAAGTATGTCTTTTTGGAAGAAAATAGATGAACGTGGTTTCCAGAAAATCCAATATTTTCCACATATAGTTTGAAAAGCTCCCAAAAGTTGGAGTGCATTTAGTATCTTTCGTACTTAAATGATAAAGATGAATTTATACTCAAAATAATGTAAATATTGAATGCATTCATGAGTCTCGTAAATCAAGCTTGTTTTTATACTTCCATGTGAGTCTTATAACCATGCTATTGACACAGACTACCTGTAACAGCATTCTTTAGGTGTTGTAGTGTTATGATATTTGTCACCCCAGACCTGTCGGTCTTACTGTAGCTAACAACTTAGGTGCGGGATTGTCAATCCCGTATAGGTCTATACACATTTATAATACATGACTTTAAATGCATACTAGAGAGTACGTTGAAGTTAAATATCTCACAACACTTAGTATAAATAGATTTATGAAAAGAAAGTCTTTATTTCACTTCGGATGAAAGTATTTTGTTTTTCAAGATGTTTACGTAAGAATGTATGAATAACTCACAACTATACCCATTATAGTTTTCAGAAAGTGTGTTCCATTTGGTGAAAATAACTCGGTGACATACTAACCTTTTTAAGTAAAGTAAGATGTTGATATTGAATAATAACAAGATAGAAGTTGTATTTATATCGGTATAAATCGATACGTTTTCTTGTATTGTACTTGTATCCCCCCCCCCTAAAACATGAACATACGTGAAAAGTAAGGGTATGAACTCACTTGTTCGGTTTGAAGAGAGTGAGACTAGAATCAAGCAGAACTTCAACTGCCGAAAGCTGTGCCTTCGAGCTTCTCGGGGATCTCGGTAGCGTAGAACCTTCGTCGGGGGCTCGAGTATGGGACCAAGGGTGTCGGGATGGCCTCTGG